TGACTCAGGAGACTGAGGCAGGAGGATTGTGAGTTCAAAGTTAGCCTCCGCAAAAGCAAGGTGCTGAGTAACTCAGAGAGACCCTGCCTCTAAATAAAATATAAAATAGGGCTTGGGGATGTGGCTTGGTAACCGAGTGCCCCTGAGTTCAATCTCTGGTACTACCCCCCCCCAAAAAAAAAAAAAAAAATCCTGTTTTCTTTGCTATAAAGTAGGAACAGTGATATCTATCTCTGTGATTATACTAATGTAAAATAGGTAACATGAAAAAATAAAGCTGATGTTTAATAAATGTTCTTATTCTTTCTTATCTCCTTTCCATCTTATAGAAAATTCCATCTTCCTTTGACACATCTGCCACACTCTATACTGTAACCACCTGTAAATGACTCTTCCTGAAAGGTCTCTTACTTGTCTTCTCCCCTTAGCATCTAGGGCACAGCATTTTATGTGAAGTTTGTTTGCAGATTGGTCTGATACCTTCCATTAACCTATCTTGGCCCATCTTATTTTTTCTGGTGTATTTCAGCTTGATAATATATTATTCCAAAGCAGGGAAGGGAAACTGTCAACAGTGTGTACATATTTATCGAATCAAGTGGGAGCAGAAATCTCTCCAATTTTACTATCCACAAAAACAGCAGACTTAATAGATTCCCCCTCTTTATTTAAAAATAAAGCACCACAACCCATGATAAAATCAGCAAAACAGAATGGTATTTGAAATATAAGTAAGTAGCTTATCTGTCAGGATCAACCAGGTCTTTGATATTTTAGGGAAGTCCAGGCTTATTAATATAGTTTAGCTGCACTGCTTTCTCCAGAACTTCCTTTCTAAAAACAATTGTGTCTAATATTCCGTGAGTCTTTTTTGAATTGTTTGGTCTTGAACCCCCTCACACTCACTGAAAGAGAGTCATCTTCCCAAGACATGTTTTCTAGAATGTGTGAACAAGGGAGGGTCTTTGTTCAGGCTTGCCCTTTTCAAAATAGGTAAAGTGGATTGTCAGATTTTGCCCCCTGTGGTATTTCTAACTACTCCTGGAACACCTGTGATATCCTTCAAAATTGTCACAACCCAATTACAAGGGACAATCTCCCCTGCCTTTTTTTTTTTTTCAAATTTTCTTCCAAAACAATAAGATCCCTCTTGAGGATCCTTCTGGATACCTTAAGTTTAGTTCCTGCCGCCCTCCATGGCCAGGGAGTAGAAGAGTGAAAAGCCTGGTGCCTCTCTTGGCTTGGAAGATGCCGAACCCTGGCTTGTCCCTCTTCAGTTACAGTTATTTTCACTTTGTCTTTAATTTTTAGATTTAGTATTGATGAAGTGTCTATGGATCTGTTAAGGTCTGTGAACACTGAAAATACTCAGATTTTGAATGATTCCAGCCATAATTCAAAGCTCTGTTGGCATGAATCGATTCACCAGAGGAATGTTTTTAAGTGTGTGTTGATGTTTCTTATGTGTCTCAAATGAAGGTTCTATATATGTTAAACTATAAAGCAGCACAATGAAAGAAAAACTCTGAAATAAATTGTGATTTTAATGAAAGAAGCCAAGAAGGGACATTTTGGCTATAATTTTACTTAAAAAGTCCTGGAGTTTTGAGAGGAAAAAAGTTTGAAATTTGTATTGCATGTCCTTGAAGTGCTATTAGTTACTTTTAAGAAGGATGAAATATGATTTTTAACTTGCAAAGCTTTGTTTCATTTGGGTAGCTTTTTAATTTTAGTGCCTTGCAAAAAAGTTTTGTGGGCAAGATTCCCTTTGCTATGTAACAAATGCTTTCACTGTTTAGCTAAGGCTTGCTACCAGTGGCTCAGAGGTTGAAATAAAAAGTGAAATGGCTGTTGTTTCCCCATTTAATAACCGGATTTTATTTTTATTTCCACTCCCCAGTGTTAAAAAAAGAAATGAGGGGGAAAAAAAAAGCAAGGATTGAGATCCAAAAGCTCAAAGTTAGATTTAATTTCCTAACTAGAATGAGGCTAGCTTTGCCGTGATGTGAAAGGCATATGTAGGAAACATTTGTTCATAGCCACACGGTTGACCGTATGATTGCTGGGCTTAGTACTTGGATCAGGTTGTATTCCTGTCTTTAGACAGTCAAGCAGGTAAGAACCAGTCAAGTCTAAGCAGTTGAAGTGACTTAACTTCTTTCTTCCTCCCTTTTGAAAAATATTTTGAGTGTGCTTCTTGCCCCACTTCTTAATCCACATGAGAGAATGTAACACAGGTCTAAATGACACTGGGTTGGACAGCAACAAAGAGTTAAAGAGTGTATTTTCTGCCTCTTATTATGGAAGACTTTAATGATAAGTAGTTGTCAGGGATTTGTCTTTGCTTTCCTCCTCCTCCTCCTCCTCCCCCTCCCCCTCCTCCTCCTCCTCCCCCCTCCCCCTCCCCCTCCTCCCCCCTCCTCCTCCCTTTTTCTTCTTAAAGAGGGATTGAATCCAGGGCCATGCACATGCTAGGCAAGCACTCTGCCACTGAGCTACCCGCCCCCCCCCCCAATCCTTTATTAGAATTTCATTTTGAGACAGGGTTGCCCAGATTTCCCTTGAACTTGTGATTCTCCTGTCTCAGCCTCCTGAGCAGCTGGGATTACAGGTCTGAATGACTACCTCAGGCTTTTTGTTTGTTGGATTGCCATGCTGGGGATGGAACCCAGAACCTTGCACATGCTAGGCAAGTACTCTGTGACTGAGCCACACCCTCAATCCAGCTTTGCTTTTTTCTTAATTTTGTCATTTCTCAATTCTACCTTTGAGCTTCTTGTGGGCAAGGTCTACTGCCATAAGTTGTGTGAAGTGAATTCTAAGGAAAAACTGCTTTTGTCCCAGGTCCTTCATTGTTTTCATTTTTCTTCAAGGAGTTCTCACTTTGGTTGAAAATCTTAGTGTGACTAATGAAAAACTGTTAACTAGCTAAGAAAAATATTTTTTTTACATTATCTTTAAAAAGTATTTGGAAAAAGAGTGGGGCATGGTGGCACACGCCTATAATTCCATCAGTTTAGGAGACTGAGACAGAAGAACAATGAGTTCAAAGCCAGCCTCAACAACTTAGCAAGGCCCTAAGCAAATCAAGGAGAACCCATCTCTAAATAAAATACAAAATAAGTGATGGAGATGTAACTTTGTGGTTAAGCACCCCTGAGTTCAATCCCCGATACCAAAAAAAAAAATAGTATTTGGAAAAAGGATTATATTTGGAGAATATTATTTGTTACTGTTTCTGCAAGATCCAAATAGCCTGGTGAAATTTTAGGGCTACAGTTCCATTTTGCCATATTAAGCATTTTGCCATTCAGTACGTGCATCCTCAGTGCGTGTTATGTTACTGGCACTTGAGTTTTGAGAATGCTTTTTTTGTTTTTAAATTAATTTGCAGCTGGCCAAAAACAAAGGCTAGTTTGAGGATATTATTGGAATTGTGCTATGTTTGAGAAACTTGATTGTCAGAAAATATGTCTGTAATTTGTTGAAGTGCCTAGATATAAACTTAGCTTTACTGGAGACCACATCACAGATCTGTGCCTCCTACCTTAGCATGAAGATAAAGGCAATTCTGTCTTCTTATCTCTGTTGTATTCCATTGCAACTAACTTCACATGTTGCCACTGAGTGGTAAGTACACTAGATTGACATGATTTTTTTGTATTTTATACTTTTTATAATTTATTATATCTTGTAGTGTTTATGCATAAAGAATGGTAAGATTAAAAAAATGAAGCCTTTTCTATGGGCTAATTTAGGATTACTAACAGCTATAAAGGCACTTGCAGGGCTGAGAATACAGCTCGTGGCAGAGTGTATACTTAGCATGCGTGCATGAGGCCCAGATAATAAAAGAAGAAGGCATTTGACCACTCTTTTTTTCTGTTTTGCTCATACAGGATGATGAATAAAGGATGGGCAAGAATTTGTACTGGGGTGTTCTAGGAGAGGTGTTTGTTACCACTGCATTTTGTGTAGTCTACATCATTTCATATGACCTTTGATGGCTGTTCTGGTGACCTGGGCTTCACATCCTTCTGAGAAACTGTAGATTTTATTATGGAATGCTTATACAAATAAGATTTTAAAAAATTATTTTTTAAGATGGGGCTCTTACTATGTTGCCCAGCCTGACCTGGAACTCTGGGGCTCAAGTGATCCTTTTGCCTTAGAGTCCTGAGTAGCTAAAACTATAGTACATGCTACTGTGCCCAGAAAATAAAATAAAATAAATAAATTTCCTATTTCTCAAAATAGAGGTCTTTTTTTTTTTTTTATTCTTCTGCTTCATTATACGTTAGTCATTTGTATACTTACAGGCGTTGTCTGTGTGAGAATTTCTCTCTTGAAAGCTTTTGAGTTGTTTTTCAGCCTAAGTTGTGTACCTTCCAGCGAGCACTATCCCTGCCTCTTACTTAGGAATACAAAATAAGATGCACGTTGAAATGCTTATCCTTTAACTCTGAGCAGGTATCAGTGCAAACCCAGTATGTATCATTATGTGATGAGAAATATATATTTTTTTTATGACTAGGAAAAAGTTTTTGGCAAAAAGAAGTTCTGTCCTGTTCAGTCAGCTACTGAAATGGAACTGAGTCTTCTTTTATTAGGTGGGTCTTTGAAGTTGGGATGATTTAATGCTCATAGTCACCTGTGAGTGTTAGTGCAGTGAGTCCCTGGAACCCTTTGTGCTCCCGAGGAGGCCATTTATGTAGCAAATGTGCAGTGAGTAAGCGTATTATGACTTTTCTAAATAGCATGCTGTAGAGCAGATGATATTTTGGTATACTGGAGTGCAGCAGCTTAGCCAGAAGGTGTCAAGTGGAGACTCAGGCACTTGGTCAATGCAGTTATAAATTTCTACTCTTCACGTGCCCTATTTTCTCTGTGTGAGTTTGTAATTGCTTTGTAGTAATCCTGTCAATTTGACAAACAGAAAAGTCAACAAAAATAAAATCTAAGTGGTCAATTCTAGAGTTTTTTTTTTTTTTTTCTTACAGATTTTTTTTTTCTTCTCTTGTACCTGGGATTGAATCCAGAGGTGCTCTACCACCAAGCTGCATCCCCAATCTCCAGCCCTTCAATTTTAGAATTTTAAGTAAGTTTTTATTAAAATATTAAGAATGAGGATTACTATCAATTTGGTTTCTCTTACCATTCCTCCAGCTGATTGCCTCCTCTGGCAAGTTGACTGCTTTACTTCAGGCCAAATTTTATTCCTTTTAAAGACAAAGTTCATGAACTTTGTACCTGCTCAGGATGTGTGGAAGCTCTGCTCTATAATCATTACTTTGTTGATTCAATGAAAATTCGGTGCATTTGAAACCTCCCTGACCATGGATTCTTAATGCTCTTGTCACCATGTTGTCATTGTTGCTCTGTCCTTTACCACACAAAGCTGGTAACAGCCACTTGCAAATCTAAAACATGTCCATATTTTTCTACAAAGGTTTTTGGCATTCTTTCTTGGCATTCATATTAAGGAGGAGCCCAGGGATGGCCCTTCCGATTTCTTGAGGTGTTTAAGAATATGTGGCTAATACTACTTGCTGGAACCGACCTTGGAAAAATTGAACTGGTGCCATATTTTTTGTGCTACTATTGTGTCTGACTATAAAATGAAGGAAGTGCTAATAACACTTCCTACTTGTTTAGCACGTTTTCCTCCCCAGCTCTCAGAGGAGTTGGCCAATAGCAGGCTGGATCTCCAGCCTCTGTTTCTGTTCTTTTCTAATTCCTGTCTTATAATGTTGAATAAAACTTTCACTTGTTAGCTGCTTCTTTTTTCTTATGTTCTCCTAAAAATTAGAAGATGATATTTGTTTTTTCATTCCCATTTCTCAGATACTGAGAACAAGGCACGTCTCAGCTAAGTATTTGACCTGGGTTTATGCTGTAATCAGTCGCAGAGCCAAAGCAGACTGGGGATCCTTCCTTGGCTTCATTTTATTACTGAGTCAGTTTCTCTCCTTTTCAGCTACCCTTACAGGACCAAAGAAAACAATTTTCAGGTGCCAAAAATATTTCCTGCATCTCTTCTTCAGTGTTCCAATGTTAGGATTTACACTAGATTTATTGTCTGAAGTAAAGTTTCATTGCCAGTTATAAACATGATCTGCTCCCATATTATTCCTGATCTGACTGCTGTCCCAGAAGGTGATGGATAGTTGGAGGAAGATTATAATGAATGCAGCCCCTATTTTCTTTTTGCCCTTCTAAATTTGATTTAACAAGTTGCTTTCTGCCAGGAAATTTCATGAATGGTCAGATTTTAATAAGCCAAAATTTTTTCCTTTATAATAATAAATGTAACAAAATCTCTCCCCAAGGTGGATTTAGCTAGAGTAATACTTGTGTGAGTACTTTCTGAATTTATAGGTAGAAACAACTCCAATCACTCTTAAAATGTGTTGTTCTTATAAAATGTGATCACTACATCTGAATATAATTTATGTTTGGAATATGTTGTCCTCAGTTCTTTTCACTAGTGAATGTTGATAGAGAATGTAAGGAGCACTCTGTAAAAACTAGAAGAATTGACTGTTCTGCTTTCAAAACCCTTTTTCAAAATCAGACTGAGGATGAAATTTTTGAGAGTGACAGTCCCTTTCCCCCACTTCAAATTAACAAAAGTGAAAGTTGCATTTTGGTCAATTTTGTACATTCTTCTTAGTGAAACTGTAAGAATCGGAGTGAATGCACTTCACCTCTATTCCAAGCAGTTCTGTTGTTCTACTGCCCTCCGCCTGTGCTTGTACCCACACACCGCACAGAAAGAGTTCATTCTTGCTCACATGCAGCCACAGGAGGCTAGCTCCTATGGTCCTGGGCTCAGTGGAAATTGGCAGCCTTTCTCCTCTTGCAAACAACAGCCTAACATCACCTCAGGCAGTGGTGATAGTGGACCCACTTCAGAGATTCTCAATTGGCAGAACTGTGGAAGGCCTGGCTTTGATCATCTTCTGTCACACTTGAGTAAATGCAGTGCAGAGAAATTTGTTAATGTCGGAAATACTAGGGTGGCCCTTTAAGACTGTTTTTAAAGTACAGTACTTATCCCTGCATTTTCATATGTAATCTGAACAACAAACCTGTGTGATAAGCAAGAGAAATGAAGTCATTTCTATTTTAAAAATGTGCCAACCCAAGTCCAGGGAATTAAAAAGTCAGTAGTGGCAGTGGAGTGACTGAAATTTAGGCCTTCCAATCCCTGTCTTGTCTCTCTCTTCACTGTTAAATAACTTCTTTAGAATAGTAATTATTAATTGTTCTGTTCTGTTACTCCCTCTCCCATCTAAACTGTGTAGGATGATGATTTATGAGTTTTTTGTTTTTTTTTTTTTTCCATTCAAGACATCTGTGCCTTAAAATCAGATAGTCTTGCTGCATAGGGATCTCCTAGACAATGAGACACTCCACTTCCCTGCCTCTGAGAGTCTTTGGAAACATCTAGCATTAAATCTACACTTGCGAGCTTAATTGGGAAGATTTATTAACAAGATGATCCTGCTGCTCATTTGGCTTGTGAAAGCTACATAAAATTGAGAGGATGGATGATTGAATTATTGTTGTTAACTGGAGGAGACAAAACCAACATGAAAGGACTGTTTCATTTGTTAGAAATCAGAACTTTGTTGGGGGAGAGGGAAGAGAGTTGAAGAGCTACTAATTAAACTAAACTAGTTCGTTTTATAAAATAGTTGTCTTTCTCAAATGCCCACTTCTGGTTCATTTTCAGGCAGTTACAAAACGTGAAAAAAAAGAACAATTACCTTCTAGGTTTTATATAGCTGCATGTATGGTTTGGGAATACTTCAGGTTGCAGGTAATGCTTGGTTTTCTGTTTGTGACTCGTGAGTTAATTTTTCAAGGTGATATTAAGAATAGGCAGAAGGAGCTGGACATGTAGCTCAGTGATAGAGAGTATTTGCTTAGCATGTTTGAGGTCCTGGGTTTGGTCCCCAGTGCTGCTAAAACAAAACAAACAAACAAAAAACTATTAGGCAGCAAAGGTGTTTAGGTTCCTGTGGATTGACCACAGTAAATTACATGGACCTTAACTTCTTTGCTGAAAGCCCCAGACTCCCAACAAGCTTACCTAATTTTGAGGCATATATTTAGAGTATGGAAATTAATATTTATTTTAGTTTTCTTCGGACATGAAATATTTAAAAAATAAAATTCTATACATTAAAAAAGCAAATATAATTTTTTAAAATGAAACTTTTTAAAAATATTTTTTTAGTGTTGACGGAACTTTTATTTATATGCGGTGCTGAGAATTGAACCCAGAGCTTCACACATGTGAGGCAAACACTCAACCAGTGAACCACAACCCAGCCCCCAAAAGGAAACTTTTTGTTTTATTTTATTCTGTGCAGTGGCTGTAACCTTGAGCCCTAGGTCCTGTACTTGCCAGGGAAGCTCTACTACTGAGTGTACCCCTCTCCCCAAATAAACTGCTTTTAAGAAGTGCACTCTGGCACATAGTAGGCACTCTAAAAGGAATTTGAAATAAAAACATGATGATCATAAGTTAACTATATTAGCAATCTCAATATACTAGCATCTATATAATACTTGACTAAACTATACCTGAGAAATAAGTACATTTGGGTGGGGGAAAAATAATCTTTATTGAATAACTTGAAACAAAAGGATGTATGTTTTGCTTTAATTTTTTTTTTTTTTTTTTGTAGTTGTAATGCTGAGAATCGAACTCAGTGCCTCACATATGCCAGCCAGGCAAGTGCGCTACCGCTGAGCCACAGCCACAGCCCTGTTTTGCTTTTTAGTTCATTAAATGGAAGAAAAGTTTTGCCTTCACAAGATTGTACTGCCAGTGTTTTTAAAATTATAGCAGGCTGAGGGAATAGAGGTGAAGTGCATGAAACCTGCGGCAACAAAGAAAACAAGTCTCTGCCTTGTCACCGTCTTTCGCTTCTTTCGGTGACAAAGAAAAAGGAGCACGTAACAGCTGCCAGCCAAAGCCTCTCACTTCTGCTCTGCCGCGAAGGTCTCCAACTCTGGGGTTGCCGCGGGAGCAGAACCGAGTGGCCCGTGCAGCGCGCCGTGCAGGCTGCGCAGGGAGCTGCCTCTGAAGGGAGTGGCCGTGCAGTGAGCTGCTCGTGCAGCCAGCGCCTGCCGAGGAATGCAGTGCAGAAAGCAGCCCTTGCTCTTCCCCACCCCTGGCCTCGGGAGCCCACACTCACTGCTTACAGGAATGGCAGCCGCGGTTCTCTCCAACCAGTTAAAGTTAAAAAGAAAAAGAAAAGATTCCCCCAAGGGTCTCCCCTTATCATCTTACAGCAGTGGACTTTCTCAGCCTCCTGTGAGGTTGTTTGTAATTGTGAACAAATAGTCGTAAGGGCGGAGGTCAGAGGCTGGCTATTGAAGCCAGGGCGAGGGCAGAGAGAGACAGGTTGGGCTTTGATTGGCAAACTATCTTGCTATCCATTCCACAGTGGATGTAGTAAGAGCAGAAAACAAAGTTGGATTTTAATTTGAATTCTTCATGAAAGCACTAGCTTTTTATTTTAACATTTCAGAGTTGGTTGAAAAATACCTCTGGGGCAGGATGGTTACAAATAATCATAGCACCTTGATTTGTATGGAGCATTGTATTTCTAATTGCCCTAATGAGCATTATCCTGTTCAGCACCCACAGCCACAACTACCTTGTGAAGTATTTATTGTCTTTCCCATTTTAAAAATGATAAGCCAGAATTCTAAAGTTAGGGCTTGTCTAAGAGCACACAGTTTCTGTGCAGGGCAGCTGTCCTGCTCCAGTATTCCCTTCACTGTGCTAGGAACCAGCCCCTTGATAGCATCTAGCTTTCTGGTTGTCACTACTTCTCACAGAAAGCCACAGTCCAAAAACCACCGTAGTGACCATTTCATGTAGTTTACCATAAGAACAAACACATCATCAAAGGGCCACTTCTTGATTAACTTTGACTTTAATTATCAAACAAAGGAAGAGGAGCCTTGTTATTTCCTACCTTGAATCAGAATGGTAGTGCAAAATGAACAGTAGAGATTATTGAGTTTTAATATACATTTTTAAAAAACTGGAGTTAAAGCCCTTCATAAAGAAAG